CCACCTTTCGTATTTTTGGTTTGTCACAAAATAATCTTTATAAAAATATTTGTGGCGTTTATTGGAAGCCTTCATCCATATCCGACGACAATAAAAAAGTCTTCGACATTTTAGCTGTAACGCACAAAAGTCACCAATCCCATATCCAAATTATATTTGGGTTGACGAAACTTCAATATTGGAGAGGTTAGATCAGAGCATAAATTATGTTGGTACATACAAATTTAACAAATACAAGATTGATAGGCCAAGGGGGTGCTTGGTAATGACTTTTATTTTTTATTTTTGACTGTAAAAATTTTGGTTGTTAGTATTGTGGGTGTTGTTTTAAATATTAATAAAAACTTGTTTGGTAATAAAATCTGTGACTGTTATTTTAATAATTATTTTTAAGTAAGTCCAATTTATGGAGAATATTTTGTGTAGAACTACTATAAATAACATTTATTTTTTCCCAAAAACTCGTTCAATCAAAAAGAGTTGTTTTATGGCATCTCTAATCCACATCTATCCCTTTTTCTTTCTAAACTCTATTTTAGAGTAAAATCTACTTCAACTCATCTCTATTTCTATCTGCATAATAGAGAAAATTATATGATACCTCTATATATATAGAGAAAAAAGTTTTGAATTATCATTAAGATACATTAGAGAAGATACATTAGAGAATAAATAGAGGAATGCTATATTTTTTTCAATTCTAAAGTTAAAAATTGAAAAATACATTGGAAATGGTCTTTATGATTTATCCCGTTCTTTTCATTCATTTTGAGACTTTTGATAATTTATTGATTTTACATAATGGTTCTTAAAAAAATAGAAAAAAAATAATAACAATTAATCAACTAAAAGTTTTTAGTTATAAACTATATATAAATCTAAAAAAGGCTTGAAATAATTTTGGGAAATGAGAAAAAGAATAAATCATTTAAAGTTATTTATTTTTTTAAAGTTAAAATCTTTACGGAGAGGCTTTAAAAAAACAAAACAAAAAACTTAAAGAAAAACTTTAGAGTTTTTAAAAAATATAAAGACAACAATCAATGCTTGGTAAAAAATTGTCTTTAAACACTTTAATATTTTATAAGGTTTTGAAAGACACCTACCAAGCAAATCCCAAATAGACGGTTAAAATAATTAATATATAGTTTTGAATAACATAGTTGATACTTCCAAATTCCAATGATATTGTACAAGCTAATAATTAATGGAATCATTAACGATAAAAAAAATAATAATTAATTGGAATGTTTTGAAGTTCTAGATCTTTGATCCATAATCTTCTCGGTGCGCCGGACCAGACATTGATATACCACATTGAAGGCGTAAATCACTCTTCCCAAGTGAAATTAAACTAGTGACTTTGAAAATCTCTTTTTTAAGTCTCAAGACCACTAGACCACCAACCACTTGGTTTAAATTACAAACTCCTAAAAACCAATTTTTGTGTGGTATTTTTAAAAAATTTAATAAATGATGGTACTTTTAAAATATTTGAAAATTGTTGCATTTAAAAAAACAAAATTAAAATGTGGTATTTTGGAGAACTTAGCTAAAGAATTTATATTAGTATTGCCAACTCTATCAATCAGAAAACATATACATGTTATATTATATTGAAACGGTATAACGTACTAATAAATCTTGCTTTATATTAGTCCCAAAATCAGGTGTATGTGTTAGGATTTTTGAGTTTGGTGAGCTCAAATAAGTTTAAGAGAACCAATAATCTTAAACGTATTCAATTTCATTAAAAACTAGGAATGTTAGATAGGACTACCCAGAACCACCCAGCCCTGAAATTTAAAAACTCAGCCATGAATGAGCTCTGCTCCTAAATGAATCCTGTTAAATATTAAACAAAGGGTTTAGGCTCTAGCCCTCGATAAACCCTGTCAAATATCAAGCAAATGGTTCAAACTTTAAACTTGTTAGATTATGTTAG